AACTAGATATTCATCGCCAGAGCCAGTCATCATTAATCCTAAAATGTTTTGGGAAAGAGTAACTGTAAAACCAAAAGCTAGGTTTTATTTTGTACTGAATCAACCTGGCCATAGAAAGCTATTTTGTAATTTTTTTTTTGGTCGTTGTTGTTCCTGTTTTCTTTAACCCATGTATGCAAAGCTTTAGTCGGATCCCTTTCTTTTCTGCTTTAGTTTCTCGCTTGTTTTATCAACGATTTGGGGATAAACCAGATCATATCAGCGTTTGGAGAGCTTCTGTTACATCATGTCAAAACATATCAAATATTAGAGCTGAGGTTACTTAACTATGTCTTTTCAGTTCAAACTATGATTTAATATTTAGAGGTTTATGTGGAAGAAACGGAGCGGCAGTATTTTTTTTTTCTTTTTTATGGCTGGCTCACCAAAAACCAGCTGTATTTTTGAGATTTTAAAAGAAATCTTTTCTGTGAATCAGAAGCGAACAAAGAGCCTCTTGTCAAGTAGCAAGTTTGGACAATTGAATGTAGCAAAGATTACAAAGGGAATTTTTTTTTTTATATATATATATATAAATATATGTATTCATAGCAGTAACTAATCAGCTTGTGCCACTCAGCTGTCGCCCTCAAGTTTAAAAGTATTATTAAAGATAAGCTAAATGGTTCGGTCGTAGTGATGCCGTGTGGGTTTCTCGTGTGTTTTGGGCTGTCCAGTTGAGTCCCAGTGTTTCATTCCCAGTCACCGTCGATGGTTTTCTCTGCCTACCAGCTCACAAAGGAACCAAGGGAGTCAAAGGACACGCAGTCGGATTGGTTCGGTGGTTTTTAAGGCGCGGAAGCTGAGACTCGGCACCTCTCTGACTGGAGGGCTTATGAAAACATCGGTCCCAAGGCGGGACGCATCTCTACCTCAGCAATTAAAGCAGTGGTGACTGAAAGTCAAACACTTGGGATGCGTCCTCCCCTCCCTGCCTTTATGTAAAAGAAATAAACTCGTAATATTTGTTAAAATTACAAAGTTCCTTCCCCTAAAATCCATTAATTCAGATTTAGCACAATAGTGGAATATAGTTTTCAATAATAGTTTTATTTTTGCTATACCTGTTAGCTGCTTTTTGTGTTAGACTTCTGCATCCTCTAGTGTGTTTTTTGCCACAGCAGGTGGAAAGAAATGATCTTGTGCTTCCAGCGCCTGGGGAAAAAAAAACGAAAAACAAAACAGGAACTGGAAAACCAGCAGCCAGGCGGCGTTTCAGTTGCCGGCTCCACCAAACGGGGAAACGCTTGCCGACATGTCCGCCCATGCTCTCAAACTCTGCGTGTCCGAGCCGTGAAATCTTCAGGTTGACATCAAGACGCTGACGATGTTGGCTCTGGCAGCAGCTGTCACTTTTTGATAAGATTTATATTCTTTTGTTCCCCCATCTTTTATTTCTGATGTTCATTAGTTTGTACTGTTTAAGTTAGAGGTCACAGGTGGATCCTGATCCTCCTCTTTGGCTCACAAATAAAAGTTTTGCATTTTAAACTTGTTTTTGTTTGTATTCTTTAAAACACAAACATCACATTTCTCCCCGGTCCTTCAATGGACCCCCCACCCTACGCTCCTCCTACTCTGACCCCCGACGCTGGTCATGATGATTCTGACCTGGTTTTGCTCGGATTCCTGAGAAAACTGGGTTTTTTTATTCAAAATGCTTGTAGATAATTTAGAGAAATATTTTACTCTGTGAAGATTATTTTGTTAAATTAGGAGATTAGTGTACCAAAAACATGTTTTGGGTTTAATTTTTGTTTTATTTTTCATGTTTTTAAATCCTCCAAACATTTTGATTAGATGTTTGATTTTATTCTGAAGTTAAAATATGCAAATATTTAGTTTATTTTTCCTTTGGTTCTTTTAAAAAAATTTATTTTCTGACATTTTAAAAACTAGTAAGAGTCTGGAAACTGTTTTTTTCCCTGTACTTTGTTTTCTGTTACATTTTTCATAGGTGGAAATAGGAACATAGTATCTAGGTGATGAATTTGCACAATATCTGCCACAGTTTTGTTATTTTTCTTGATGCACTCTGTGCCTTTTCATTCCTCAAACTTCAGATTATTCAAACTTTATTTGTATTTTTTTAGATAATTGTAATTGTTTGCCAGCGAGCAAACAATGAGGTAACCTACAGCCTGGAGATTTTTTGTTTCTTAAAAATTTCAGGAAGAAGAACTGATGACCGTAGTGAAGGTTGTGGATTTTCTTAAATCCACCTGGGTCCTCACCAGCCACTGGCTAGAAGTTCACTGGGAAATCGAATCGCCCAGAATCCCACCAAGGGGATTCCAACAAAGTATCCCTGAAAAAATAGGGATACCACCGACGGCCCACTCAGTAGGTGGTCTACCCAGCTGAGGCAGCATGGAGAACATGGTCGGGATGGAACATCGCCGCAGAACAACACCCACGTGGATTAAGGATGCCGTACTTCATAACCCATAACTCTCCTGATGTTGAGATTGAGAATGATTTTTATTTATTTCCAATAGACTTGTTTCCTAATAATAATCCCTCAGATGAAGTTTGGAGCCAGTCTGCAGTGACTCTTCCTTCTGCTTTGACTGCTGCAGGTTTCTTGGTTGTCATATTTTCAGTTATTCTGGGATTTATCTGCAGAAGACGTCCACAACGGTGAGAAACTAATTCAATATTCATAATTTCTTTTACTTCAATTCAAGCTTTATAACTGAAGCTCCAGATTTCAAAGTTCACTTACGATCTTTATCTGCATCTTCAATATGATTGTTTTATTTTGAATCTAAACTTTTGTATCTTTGAACATATTTTCTTAAACTTTACCTCCAGATGTTATATTAAACTTTCATGTAAATGTGGAGTTTATTTCAGTTTTAAAGAGCTGAAACATCTGGATCGTCTGCAGAAGGAGAGACGGCCACTGTAGTGAGTAAATATCCTTATTTTTTAAGTAACTATTTTCAGATTGTCACAAAAAAGACAAGAAAATACAGGAAGAACATGTTTTCCTTTAATTCTGTAAAAAACTGTCTTAAAACTTTACCTCTAATTTTAGATTTTACATCCATTCATCTAGTGGTGCTTTTTATGACATCCAATACAACTAGTTACATTACAATCACTAGATGGCACAAAACTTACTTTCCTGAATACTTAAATAGTGAGTGTATTAACATAATCGATAGTCAGAAACGTCATTTCCTGTCAACATCATATTTAACTGGAGGAAGTTTCTGATTAATTCTGTTTCTATAAACAGATTGTTTCAGCTCCAATAAAGGAGCAGTGACAGAAATCCAAAAATATTTATATTGCATGTGCTTTTACAGAATGACCACAAGATGGCACTGTTGCGCTAAGGGAGAGAATCTGTTAATTTAGGAACTAAACTGCACTGTATGCAAACACTGATCTTTGCATTTAAGCAACAATTCAAAAGTGAAGAAGGAAAAAAAATTGATAAGAACTAAATGATTAATGTATCTATTTACTCCTGTCTTTTATTAAACAGTTCTTCAAACGTCTTTTCCCAACAGAGACATTAAATTATGTTTCACTTGACTTTGGCCTTTTGCATGAAGGTTCTTATTACAATTTTTTTGTCTTTTATTGTTCAGGATGAACTGTACTCAAGTCTCCCACAACAAACCAGAGACATTTATCAAACTGTCTCCTTTGGTCACCATCAGTATAAATCAGAAACAAATGTCACTGACGGGCTGGGAAACATTTATGAAAAAATTTTGAATTAAAGATCTGTCTTGATGAATGCAACAGGATTTCCTCGTTATGTTGTACTTCACAACCTTTCTGTTGGTTTGCATGTTGAACTTTAACACAAAAAATCATTTAGTTTTTGGGCATTTTTACTTATTTCTACTTGATTTTGCTTTTATGTCATGTTTCTGACATATCTGGTGTGTTTTTTTTTCTGTAAACAGCTCCCACATTTTTATTTTAAAAATGATATATTAGGAAATCTACTCCACCTTTGAAAATGATGGCCACTGTTTCACCTGTATAGCACAATAATTTACAATAGGATCTGATTTCTGTTTCTACATGGAAGGATATAATTTTATGTTTGATGGAAGATTAAAATAAAAACAGTCACTGAATATCCATGAACATTTTTGTTTTATTGCTACTTAAAAGTGATGCCACAATGCAAGCCTTTCTATTGTTTTAGTGTTGTTGTCTGTATAATTTGATTCTGGCTGTCGCTGAGCAAAAACCTTAATATCAAGATGTTAAGAATTTACTGTCATACAGTAAATAGTGATATTTCTGATAACATCTGCAGTTGTGATAAACATTCAAGGAAAAATATATGTACTTATAAACATTTCAAAATGAAAGGAGAACAAATGTATTAACTTTTTGTATTAACCAGCAGTTCTAATGCATTTGTATCTGTGCATCTTTGCAGTGAGATTCGTCTCTCGGATGTTTGTTGCATTTTTCTGTCTGGTTGCCAATATGTTGGTGTAAAAGTGTTGCATTAAGGAGCAATGAGGGACAAACCCTACATAAAGCTGTAGCATGACCTTTCATCTTTTTGCAGCTCACATTCAAGCTTATAAATGTGTGAAGACCACAAAGCAAACATGACATTTAGATCTCCTAACCCCACATTGTTGCAGAAAACAAGCAGGAAATCCTGCCGAGCATCATAGAATGCTGACAAAGCTTTAATCTCAGATGTTAAGAGTACTGGAAAATATAATCATGGATAATAGTTGATTGTTTTGTTTTCAATCAGACTCACTCTTATTTGAGTTGGGCAGAGATAATTCCTGTTTGTGTGGTCTGTTGTTTCAAAGAGAAGTCATCATGCAGGTGCATTTCCTTTAAAAGAAAAAAAAAGAGAGTCACATCCTTTTGTGCTGGTTTGAGAGATGAGCGTTTGTGGTTTGTGTCGCCCAAAAGTTTTAAAGGACAGTTCAGACGTCCTCGGTTCAGTGCAGCAGCAGATTTGGATGAAATAAGCAGGTTAGATGGATGCAGTGAGATTCAGCATTTTACTGCTTCTACTGTGGTTTGGCTGCCGACTGGACTCTACAGGTAACGTAAAAATTGAATTGCTTTGAATTTAATTTTGAGGTTTTTTATCAATCGGGGGCTTTCACTTTTTCTTTAACTGTACTTTGATCTGACTTACTTTAGATTCCACTGCTTCATAGATGAGACAGTTTGTCATTCATTGTTCTTTTTTGTTTGCAGCACCTCTTGTAAAAACTATCGGAAAAGAATCAGATTTTACTCCAATCTGCACCTATGAAACGTCAAACATCATCATGATAATTGTGTGTAAAATCAGAACAGAGAGGAACAATAGAGAGGAGTGCAATCTGCTGTATCAGGATGGAGGTGACTTTGTTCATGAGTGTGACTCCAGATTCTCACTAAAAACCAGGAATCAAACTGTGTTTCTGCACCTGACCAGTTTAACAGCAGCTGATAGTGGGAACTACTCCTGTCAGTGTTCAAATCTTAATGGAACGAATTTTCTCCATCTCTGCATCACAGTTAATGGTGAGTGGATCTATACAAATGTTACGTCAAACTCATATGAACCATATATTCTCTAACAATGTTTGTTTTATTTACAATAGAATCAAATCCTAATAATTCATCAGATGAAGTTTGGAGCCAGTCTGCAGCAGTGACTCTTCCTTCTGCTTTGACTGCTGCAGTTCTCCTAATGATCAAGGTTTCTGTTATTCTGGGATTTATCTACAGAAGACGTTCACATCGGTGAGAAACATGCAATATTTTTTCTTTTATTTACACTTAGGCTTATCAACATAAGCAATATTTAAATTAAAAAAAAAGTACCTTATCTGTAAAAATATAAATCAATCAAACAAGTCAATGTTGCACTAATTTATTTCCCCACAGAAAGCAAATGGAGTCATGCATTCGTCATGGAGAGGAAGTAATTTATATTTAAAAAATTCATGCATTATTTTATTTACACATGCAGATTTTTAGGGTAATTGTACAACATGTTTTGTTCTGCAGGACTTGACTGAAATTGAGCCGTACAGCTCCTACACTCAGAAGGAAAATTCTCTTTATTCAACAGCCATTATTGCACAGCTGTCAAATTAATTCTGACTCTACAAATGTTTAACAAATTTACCATCATAATCCTTGGGATTTTTTTTTATCTGGCGTATGTCACATCATTTCAGTTGAGACTCTCTGTTCAGAGCAGCAGCAGATGTTGCATCGATAAGCAGGTCAGATGGACGCAGTGAGAATCAACCTTTTACTGCTTCTGCTTTTTTTGCATGATGTCTGGACTCTGAAGGTAACGTTATGTTGAATATTCTTTGAAATGGATTACATCTGTTCTAGTTTTTAAAAGATTCCAATATTACAGCAATCAGTTTCTTATTCATTGTTCTTTCCTGCTTTCAGTGACTCTTGTGAAAACAATCGGGAAAGAATCAGATTTCACTCCAATCTGCACCAACAAAACATCAAACATCATATTGATCATTTGTAAAATCAGAACAGAGAGGAACAATAGAGAGGAGTGCAGTCTGCTCAGTGTGACTCCAGATTCTCACTAAAAACCACACTGTAACAAATTGCTGTAAAAAAACGGCCAAAACTGAACAGTATCATACTGTTTCTATTGAAAACGGTACTGCACCGTGAAAAACAATGCATTCTGGGCAATTATTACTGTTTTTAATAAAATACTGTAGTATACTGTGAGTAGCATTGCATTTTGGGAATGATGTTAGATTCAACGGTAAGGAGGCTCTCTTTAAACAGAACGCTGCTGTATTTCTGAAGAAGACATGTTGTGGTGACATGTGGAAGCAACCTCTAGAACTTTCTTTACAAGGACTATCCATTTGAATCCTGCATTTTATGAGCCAATCCTAAGGTAAGTTATTTTTGATGATTCATATTTACAAATATTGACATGTTTGGAAGCTCTTTTTCTTTCTTTTGTGTAATTTGACTTGAATTGCTATGATTAGCTGCTAAAGTGAAATTGGTGAATGGATAGCAACTGGGAATTTGGAGTTTCACAGAGTTGACTTGGCAGAAAACTGTTTAAATGTTATGCTGGTGTCTCTTTATTAACTCTTAACATTCAAAAGTTTGTCTTCACCTAGCATACATTAAACCCTGACTCCTTAAGCATCATATGCTAATCTGAAATTACTGCATTTTCAGGCGCTTTCTTGATATCAACCCGGACCAAGGCCAGCTGTAGCAAGATCATCTCCAAGAGGACAGGGAAAACTTTTCAAAAGAAGTCGGTCACTGTCATCCCCGTGTTTCAACTCTGCTGAAAAACCTCATGGACTTTGAGTGGAATTTCATAGTGAGAACTTTCTAACCAAGCTATAGATATTGTTGCCCCTCCACGCAAAAACAAACAAGAAACTCTACAGACATGAAGGCAACTTATGTCTGTAGACATAAGTTGCCTTCCTACACTGAACAGGAGTGTTCTTGAGAGATTTTTTTTTTATTTAAAGGTCAGCATAATCTGAAGACATCTCTTTTAATTAAGAGCATAAATTTTGTTAAGGCTCCCACTTTCTGTTCTTCAGATGTAATTTTGACTGTACAGGCACCATGTTTAACTTATCTTGGCAGTGTGTTGTCTAATATTGTTTCATTGTTTTATCATTTGAAGTTGGAGCTCTGATTTTGCCCTAAAGGAAATTCAAGTCTAAATGTTTCATTTAAATTTTTATCAAACTAAAATTTGCAATGTTTTTCTATGCTTTAGATTGAAAGTTAAATGTTTATGTTGCATCATATTGTTCCTCACTTGCACAAAAAGTAGTATTTTGTATTGAAAAAGTAGTGTGCTGAGTTGTACAATACATTATTTCCATTATTTATTTCATACTTATTTTATTTCAGACTAATCAAAAGGCCGCAATTCATGCTTTATTCAAATACTCTTTAAATCAGTTAAAAAAATTATTTCACAAAATAGATGGTGATTTTCTTACTGTTTTTCCAGAATATGACTTACTTTGGACAGTTTACCCTCAACATTCTTGTAGAAAAGGTTTAGGTCTAAGGCACACATACATTGTTTCAAAACCTTCTTTATTATGTGGCCCACTAAAGACTGTGTATGAGTCAATGTTTGAGTTGTTCTTTTTTTCCCAAATAAATGTTTGACATAATGGAACTTACATTTTCTAAGTGTTTTTTTCATGTTTCTATTTTATATTGGAAATTTACAGTAGTAAGCTGTATGTGGATTCAACACTGCTGCCAGTAGTCTACTGTAAATCTGATAAAAATAGCAATGTGCTGTAATCAAAAGATTTCTTTTGTGACGGTAATATACTGTAAAGTTGATTACAGGAAGGGTACTGTATAATTAACAGTATAATGCTGGCAACCCTGCTGCCAGCATTATACTGTAAAAATACAGGGCAATTTGTTACAGTGCAGGAATCAAACTGTTTCTGCACCTGACCAGTTTAACAGCAGCTGATAGCGGGAACTACTCCTGTCAGTGTTCAAATCTTGATTCAGCATATTTTCTCAATCTCAGAATCACAGTTAATGGTGAGTGAACCTCTATAAATGTTATGTCAAACTCATATGAACCATATATTCTCTAACAATGTTTGTATTATTTCCAATAGAATCAAATCCTGATAATAATCCAGCAGATGAAGTTTGGAGCCAGTCTGCAGCAGTGACTCTTCCTTCTGCTTTGACTGCTGCAGTTCTCCTAATTATCAAGGTTTCAGTTATTCTGGGATTTATATACAGATATTTACTATTAAATAGTTATGAACTATTTAACAGTAAATATCTGTTATTTACTGTTATTTAAATATTTACTGTTATTTATTTAACAGTAAATAGTTATTTAATATTTACTGCGAGTAAATAGTAAATAACTATTTACTATTTACAGTAAATATTTACTATTTACTGTAAATAGTTATTAACAGTAAATAGTTAACTATTTACTGTTATTATAGTAAATAACAGTAAATAGTTATTTACTGTTAAATAGTCAATAGTAATTTACTGTTAAATAACTAAATAAGTAAATATTTAACAGTAAATAGTTATTTACTGTAACTATTGTTGCGTTGTTGTTGTTTTCAGCAGCTGCTAACAACAACAATGCAGAAAAAATCATATTGATCTTTGACAAAACTTAGTAGTTTTATCAAAGATCAATATGATTATTTCTAATGATTATTTTCTAATGATTATTTTCTAATGATTATTTTCTAATGATTATTTTATAATAATCATTTTATAATGATTATTTTATAATGATTGTTTTCTAATGATTATTTTATAATGATTATTTTCTAATGATTATTTTA